CGAGATCCTCCCTCTCACACTCCAGGACCCCTCGGGGGATGTCGGAGAGCCAGTTTCGTCCCAATCCCTGCAGGCCAGGCCAAGGGACCCCACTGGTGCATTCGTGCACCGGGCCTCTAGTATTTTAATAATTATGAGAAATTGTTAATAATGATTAGTATAGGAGTTTAATGATACTTCATTAATTTTAGTTGTTAATCATCTCAGGTGAACCTGATTTACAATGAAATTTATGATGTTTCCCATTCAAAATTTCAAACTGTGAGAAGGTGGTAGTACAGCATTTAGCTTTTGAGATAGCCAATATATTTTTCTATTATTCTTCTGCAGAAGTTAAAAAACAAGCTTAAGTTAAGACAACAAAGACAGTATTTATGACAGTTTCTAGACCTAAACATTCTTAGAACTTTGCTAATATTTCACAGATACTAAATGTAATATTTTGTGTTGCAGGCTGAGTCCCCAGCCCCAGTCGGGTCATGTGCCTGAAGCAACCAATATATGTGTCTCTCTCACATCGATGTTTCTCTCTTTCTATCTCTCCCCCTCCTTTTCATTCTCTCAAAAAAAAAATTAATGGAAAAAATATCCTCGGGTGAGGATTAACAAAAATAGAAAGCTAAATACTTGTCAGTTCCCCGGTCCTCATTCTCAACAATCTGTGGAAGTTAATGGTGGACATTTTGAACTTTTGCCTCTAAATGTGTGCGATTCAATATTACAACACAATTTCAATTTCAAGTCAAAACACAATTTTCTCTACTTGTTCAATTTATAAACCTTTATAGGGAAAACCAAGCTGTACCGGAAAAAAAAGCTTTTGCCAACGCCAACTCCGCGTGATGGAATGAAGTGGTTGTGTGCGATCATTTTAGCATTGCTCAGCATTAGCATTCCCCCTTCATCTTTTGTGTGTTTTCTGGGTTTGGTTTAAGGTGTTTTACGACATTGTTAACCTGCCATCCCTTATCAGTGTTAAGAGTACTAGTTAGAGCCCTGGCTGGTTTGGCCCAGTGGATAGAGTGTCGGCCTGTGGACCGAAGGGTCCCGGGTTCGATTCCAGTCAAGGGCACGTACATAAGTTGCAGGCTCCTCCCCTGGCCCAGGCCTGGTCAGGGTGCGTGCAGAAGGCAACCAACTGATGCATTTCTCTCACATCGATATTCCTCTCTGTCTTTCCCTCTCTCTTCCACTCTCTCTAAAAATCAATGGAAAAATATCCTCGGGGTGAGGATTTAAAAAAAAAAAGAGAATACTACTTAGAAAGTGTGATATTAACAATAAATAATTGTAAGTCATAAGGAAATGGTGAGTGGTCATGTGTATATGAGATGCATTTTCCCCCAATAGAAACCTTCCAGAAGAACAGAGAGATAATTATGCGACCTGCAAAAAAGTGTCATTGACATTCATCATCAAGAGAAGAGGAAAACAGATTGGCAAATGCTTCCCATGCCTATTCGCTTGATATTGGTTAGGAAAACTGACAGGCTGAGTGGGCTTGGCGAGGTACTGTGTGAAGCTGCAGCCCCTGCCTCTGGTAGGACCACACTCCAGGCCCTGCCGGCACGGACCACACCCAGGTGGGTAACCAGGAGGCACGTGTGGGCCTGGTTGTTTGCTAGCAGTTCTCACTGACACTGAGCGAGGGAGGAAGGGGGTGTCAGCAGCAGAGTTATAATAAAAACAGTATTTGCAAGGAGGTTAAGAGGCGCTTGATTTAGGGCTTGAGGACTAATGCACAGTCCTGTGGCAAGCCTAACCGCCCCCCCCCCACCCCCGCTTACTTTCTTCTTTTTTTTAATATATTTTATTGATTTTTTTACAGAGAGGAAGGGAGAGGGATAGAGAGCTAGAAACATCGATGAGAGAGAAACATCGATCAGCCGCCTCCTGCATACCCGCTACTGGGGATGTGCCCGCAACCAAGGTACATGCCCCTGGCCGGAATTGAACCCGAGACCCTTCAGTCCGCAGGCCAACGCTCTATCCACTGAGCCAAACCGGTCAGGGCCCCCCCCCCCTTACTTTCTTACAAATGAGCCAACATGTGAACGACCCTTCAGAATCTAATCTGTAGATTAATGAGGTTCTTCAATTCATTACCAAAACTTTTTCTTCCAAATGGGATATGTAAATACTATTCATTGAGCATCCGCTGGGGAAGCAAAGATGAATAAGACTTGCTCCTGCCCTCAAGGCAGTTGCGGCCTTAGAAGGGAGTAGGTGCACATAAACGGTTCATTGCAATACTTTGTAATTGTAATGATACACTATATTCTTGTAATTATGCTGCTGTATTGTAACGATGGAATTAGCCAGAGGGTGCGATGGAACAGAGACAGGAGAGTCTTCCTGGAACAGGTGATGCCTGACCTTAGTTCAAAAGAACGAGAAAGGCACACTGGGGAGAGGAAGGGGCGAGAGGTGGCCTGTGTACAGGTGAGCACGTAGCCCTCTGGCTAACGAGTGAGTCAGGGTCGGGTCAGGAGGGCCATACGTGCTACATTAAGGAGTTTAAACTCTATCTGGTTTTAGGCAATAAAAAGTCATTGAAAGGTTTGCAGTGGGGGCTGGCATCAGATCCATAGTTAGGTATCATATTCGTTTTCTATTGCTGCCCCAACAAGGATCTACAGACTTGGAGACTTGAGACCACACAGCTCCAGCTCAGAGTCCAGGCTGGCTCACTTGGTTTCCCTGCTCTGATTCACGGGCATCGGGGTGCCCGTCCCTGGATTCTAACGGGAGACCGAAGAATCCACTGCGCAGATTGTTGGCAGGAACCAGTTCCTCGTGGTTGTGGGTAGGACTGAGTCCCATGTCCTCACTGCTGTCCACTGGGGCCACCCTGGGCTCCGGAGGCCTCACACGGTGCCGGACCACGGCCCCCGCATCCAGAGCCAGCAGGGACTCAGATCTCTGGCTTCCCCCTCTGCCTGCCTCCCTTGCGTCCAGCCTGAGAAGTTCTCTGCTCTTAAAGGCTTATGTGACTGAGTTGGGCTCCATGAAGAAGACAGATGATCTCCTAGTTTAGGGTCTATAAACTTAACTGCATCGTCTGGGTAAGGTGACATAGTGACAGGTTCCAGGGATTGGGAGTGGACATCCCCAAGGGGCCAGGTGGCTTCACAGAGCAGCGTCTGCCTCTCCCAGCCATGCCCGGCCCAGCACCTGGCTGTCCTTAGCGCCCTGGCTGCTTTTTGTTTTTTTTTAAGGTTTTATTGACCCAGCCGGTGCAGCTCAGTGGTTGAGTGTCGACCTATGAACCAGGAGGTCATGGTTCAATTCCCTGTTCAGGCACATGCCTGGTTTGTGGGCTCGTGCCCCAGTAGGGGGCGTGCAGGAGGCAGCCTAACAATTCTCTCTCGTCACTGATGTTTCTATCTCTCTCTCCCTCTCCCTTCCTCTCTGAAATCAATCTATAAAAATAAAAGCGCAATATGCTAATTAGACCGGACAGCCAAACAATCTTCCGGACGTCCTTCTGGACGACCTTCCGGACGAAGCCAGGGCTGTGAGGGCTCAGGCAAGCTGCCGCGGCTGCAAGGGCCAAGACCCTTGCAAGAATTTCATGCACCGGGCCTCGAGTAAAAAAACATTTTTAAATGGCTTTATTGAGGTATAATTCACATTCGCTCATTTTATGTGCACAATTTGATGACTTTTAGTAAATTTAAGGAGTTGTGAAACGGTTACCACAATCTAATTTTAGACCATTTACATCACCCTGAAAAGATTTCTCAGGACTGAGTGCAGACCATTGGCTGCCCTTGTTTTTTTTTTTTGTTTTTTTTTTCAGTCCTCACCCAAGAGCAATGCTTATTGATTTTTAGAGAGGGGGGATGGGAGAAACATCGCATGGCTGCCTTCTTGGGGATTGAACCTGCAACCGAGGTATGTGCTGTGACTGGGAATTGAACGTGCAGCTTTTCCGTGTACGGGAAGATGCTCCAACCAACTGAGCCACACACTGTTTTCAGGCTCATCTCCTTTGAATGCTTATGTTGCCCAGGGCTTTCTCTGACTCTCTGAGAAGCACCGCGTCTAGGATGTTCTTTACGAGGTGGGCAGGAATGAACATCAAGTGGTTGGCATTGGTTACCTCGGGGCAATGAAATGGAGTGTTAGTGGGGAAATGATTAACTTTTTTGTTGTTGTTGTTAATCCTCACTGCAGGATTTCCCCACTGATTTTAGAGAGAGTGGGAGAGTGGAGGAGGGGTCGAGAGGAGAGAGAGAGAAACATTGATGTGAAAGAGCCACATCAATTGGTTGCCTTCCGCACATGCCCTTGACCGGAATCGAACCCGCGATCCCGCGGTGCCCGGGCCAACACTCTAACCGTAGAGCCAGGCGGGCCAGAGCTAACTTTTTCTGTACGTATCTTTCAGGATTTATACTTTCTATCGCCGATCTCCCCCGTTTCCATCAACCAGTGCCTGGATAACGCTGCCTCAGCTCTACCATGTAAACTAAGGTGGCTGCGGTGTTGCTAAGTGAGTTTCACATTCATGTCTCCAGCGCTTGCTGAGCCCTTGACAAGACACTTCTTTCCCATAATATCCACTTGGGATGCTCGGGCCTCGAGCACAATCCTGACATCCGGAACTTGTACTTTTTCACCCAAACTATAAGTGGTGCAATCATATGATGCACTAGCACCCACCAGGAATATTATCGGGAGACAGTACAAATGATCACATCTTATCTATATTTGGAAATGTCTTCATCAACATTCAAATGTGCAAATGTTTTCCTGCCACACTTTGAAGCTGAGACACATGCTAAAATACGCTCTTCTAACAGAAAATCCAGTCTTCTTGCCCCAGCCCTCGGGGTTCCTCTGTAACCTGCCCCCATATTCCTCTCCACACTCTCTTACCCTCCACCCCTTCGTTCACTGGCTCCCGCTTTGGTGTTTCTCCTCACCCCCTTTTACCTACCCAAGCAGCCCATGTCCCCGAAGTCCCGATTTTTTTATGAAGCCACTCCTTTCTCTTCTGAACTTCAAAACAATTTATTAGGAATCAGAAAACTTAGTCACAAGCAAATTAGATGTCTGTATCTTATACATCAAGAAAAGGTTTAATTTTAAAAATTGGAACTCTTCAGATTCAAGATGGTAGGTTACACACATGTATTTAACTCGGTTTCCACCAAAACGATAAGAAAATGGCAGTAAGAAGGTTTTTCAAATGCCACAAACCTACAAGAACAATGAGAAGGGAGAGAAGATCATTAGGGAAAAACATTTGAAAGGCAGACACTAGCCCTAGCCCTAGCCGGTGTTTCTCAGTGGTTAGAGCATTGCCCTGCGAACTGGTACTGTCTCTCCCTCCCTCCCTCTAAAAATCAATGGAAAAAATATCGTTAGTTGAGGATTAACAACAACAACAAAAAGACAGGTGGTTAAGGACACGTGGTAAGCGATTGCTGGAACTGAGAAAGGGGGACCTTGAGCTGGCAGTGGGAAAAACGAGAAGTCAACAGATTTTCCTCGCAGAAGCCACAGACACAGAAGTTGGCACCTTCGGGCAGGAGACTGGCCAACCTAAGAACCAACCTGAACCAGGCCCTTTGGGGATCTGTGTGAAGCTTATTATAAAAAGCTGGGGTTCCCCATAACTTCCTATTCCCTCAGCTCTGTGACTTCCTGGAGAACCACTTCCCGGAGGAGGATGTGGCCAGGGGGTCTCCCTGCGTGACTGCACAGCACAGGCCTCCCACCGTGCAGAGCGCGGTCAGCCGGGTAAGGGCCCAGCTGAGGTGTGAGCAGACGCCCACGCTGCTCCAGGTATTTGAGGAAAACATCTACTATCGAAAAGACAGCGGCCAGGTGCATGAGTAAATAATGAAATAATAGAATATTATTCTGCCTTAAAAAGGAAAGAAATTTACCCTGGCCAGCATGGCTCAATGGTTAGAGCATCGGCCCATGGACCAAAGGGTTGCAGGTTCGATTCCTGGCCCAGGTCAGGGCACCTGTGGGAGGCAACCAATCAATATGCCTCTTTCACATCAATGCTTCTCTCTCCCCCTCTCTCTCCCTTCTTCCCTCCCTCCCTCCCCTCCACTGTCTCTAAAAACCAACAGAAAAAAATATTCTTGCATGAGGATTAACAAAAAAAAAAGGGGGAAAGAAATCCTGATATAATCCCAAAATATGGATGACTCTTGAGGACATTGTGCTAAGAGAAGTTAGTCACAAAAAGACAAATACTGTATGATTCCACTTATATGAGGGACCTAGAAAAGTCGAATTCATAGAGACAGACGGGAGAATGGTGGCTGCCGGGGGCTGGGGGACGGGGTTGGGGAGCTGTTGTTTACTGGGCACAGAGTGTCAGTTTGGGAAGACGAAAGGAGTTCTGGAGGTGGTTACACAACATGTGAATATGCTGAACACTGAACTGTACACTTGGAAATGGTGACGGCGGTAACTGTGATGCCGTCCATTTTTATAAAGTCCTACTCAGCTGGCAGAACTCAACTGGGTGGCTTAGAGGTTTACACCTGGGAGAAAACTACAAAGAAAGTCAAGAAGATGGTGACCACGGCAGTCAAAATGGTCGTGACCTCGGAGCAGGGACCAGCCTGGGATGGGGGTTGGGCTCTGGGAAGCTGGCCATCTTTCATTTCTTGACCGAGGTGATAGTTCTTTTCATACACATTCTACAGTAAAAGAGAAAAAACACTTGGGGGATGTCTTTGCAGATTGATGGGGCCCAACACAGTGGATGAAATGGGTCCAGACCAAGACTTTTAGAGCACGGGGCCAGGGAAGAGCCCGCCTGCTCCCGGAGACGAGAGGTTTTCTGACCGTCGTAAACCAGCGTGGAACTGGGTTCCCAGTGCTGACAACGGGAGCCGGAGGGGACAGCTGTGCATTCAAAATACCGAGGACAAGTGACTTTCCATCTTGATTCTCTATCCAACGATAAAGTGTGAAAGTAAAATAGACATTTTTCCACTAGCAAAGTCTCAAAGATGTACCCTTACTTATCAAGGTTCTAGAGAATATACCAACCAAAGCCAGGGCTAAAGCAAGAAAGACACAGAATCCAGGAAACTAGGGATCAACTCAAGAAAGAGGTGAACTGTCCGTGGCAGTCCCCAGGTCTGGCTCTTGTTTCAACAGCGTTTGCATGGAACAGACACAGGGACACCCCTTCTTCCCGCTTCTGACTCCCCTCCAACCTCTTTTCCAGTCACCACCTCCAGACCCACCTCAAACATCCTCAGCCTCCAAGACCAGCCAACACCGTTTTTGACCTTAATTCATTGCTGAACAACCATGAGCTCCCAAACTCACCAGAATTGTTCCACCGAGGTGGAGGCTGCCGGCCACAGCCTAGTCCCCCTCCATCTGTGACTGCCTACACCTGCCTCTCTCGGGGCTTCTATTCCAACCGAGACAATGTGGCTCTGGAGGGCGGGGGCCACTTCTTCACTAGAGGAGAAGCACAAGGGCACCCAGTGTCTCTTAAAGATGCAAAACCAGCGCAGTGGCCGCACTCTCTCCCAGGCCCCGCTGAAGCCTTCCCAGGGCGCCATGGAAGCCGCCACTGCCATGGAGAAGAGCCAACCGGAGCCAGGCCCTTGGGGGATCTGTGTGAGGCTTATTATGAAAAGCTGGGGTCCCCGTACTTTCCTATGCCCTCAGCTCTGTGACTTCCTGGAGAACCACTTCCTGGAGGAGGATGTGAAAGCACCTGACTCACCTCCGCAGGCTGACGGCCCCCAGCACCACTAGGAGCCTCTGGAGCCAGGCCTTTGAGGGCCCCTCTGCACCCCCCTGGTGTCTGCCTTCCGCCTGAGCCTCTCCCGGAAACCACTGGGCATCCTTTTAACCCGGGAGCCCTCTCCCCAGCTGGACCAAATGGACACAACAAAGCTTTTTGCAGCAAAAAGAAGGAAGGAAGTGATGAAGGGATGAGGGGAGGGATGGAGGGATGAGGGGAGGGATGGAGGGATGAGGGGAGGGAAGGAGGGATGAGGGGAGGGAAGGAGGGATGAGGGGAGGGATGGAGGGATGAGGGGAGGGATGGAGGGATGAGGGGAGGGAAGGAGGGAGGGAGGGAGATGTGAAGGAAGTCCCAGTGGGCGGTGAAGGGAGCCTAGGAGGCCGCTCTGCAGCCTGGGGAACAGCCACTCCAGGTGCAGGCAGGTCAGAAGCTGCAGAGAAGTGTCTCTAAGAAATGAAGCCATTAGAGAATCTAATGCGTTTGAATGTCATGGGATATTTAAACCTCAAGGCAGAGTTTAGGCTTGAATTCATGTTATACATATAAAGCAAACAAATAAAACAGCAAGAACTGGACACAATATGAACTCGGTGTGGGAGAGAGGGGAGACAAGAGGTGCGGGAGAAGCAGGCATTGTAACCACACGGCCAGCTACGAATAGTGTGTACACAGCTGCAGTGATGTAAACCCTGAGTATCTATGTAACCACATTTGTGTATGATAGAGGAACATGGGGGGGCGGGGGGGATAAGGGAGGAGTGTCTGGAAGGTGAGCGTTAAAGCCCTGACTTGCACAATAATAGATAATGCCTAAATCCCAAAACTCAAGAAGCGGCAATATGCGCATGCCACTTAGATATATGGGGAATACCAGATAATTAGCTCAAGGTGTTGAACGTAGTGCCCCTGGGGAACAGGAAATTATGGGAACCCCAGCTTTTCATAATAAGCCTCATAGAATTTCTAAACATGTGCATATGCAACTTTGGAAAATAAATAAATAAGTAGATAATTGAGGTGGAGAACTCTCCCACTTTCTGTATGTGCATATTTTTTAAAATATATTTTTATTGATTTCAGAGAGGAAGGGAGAGGGAGAGAGAGAGAGAAAAAAACATCAATGATGAGAGAAAATAATTGATCAGCTGCCTCCTGCACACCCCACACTGGGGATCGAGCCTGCAACCCAGGCATGCGCCCTTGACCGGAATTGAACCCGGGACCCTTCAATCCACAGGCTGACACTCTATCCACAGAGGCAAACCGGCTAGGGCTGTATGTGTGTATTTTTATAAGAAACATATGTTTTGTTTTTATGCCAACATATTTTAACGGATCTAAAGAAGAAATTTGTTGAAAATAAATATTTCTGATCACTGGTTTGGCAACCTTCCAGCCAGGGACATATACTTCACCTTTATAGATAATTATTTATAAAACTGAGGCAGTTTTAAAATATGGCCACAAACAATTTTAATGACTTAAAACAATAACCATTTGATTAAGCTTATCTTTCTGTGGGTTGGCTGAACAGTTCTTCTGAGACATGCATTCTCTGACACTCTGCCCCCTAGAGATGGATCTAGCCCAGCCAGCATGGCTCAGAAGTGTCGAACTATAAACCAGGGGTCATGGTTCGTTCGATTCCCAGTCAAGGCACATGCCCGGGTTACGGGTTTGATCCTCAGTGTGAGGCATGCAGGAGGCAGCTGATCAATGATTCTCTCTCATCATTAATGTTGCTCTCTCTCTCTCTCTCCCTCTCCCTTTCTCTATGAAATCAATAAAAATATATATATATTTTAAAAGAGTTGGGGTCTCTGTCCACTCCCCTTAATCTGGGCTGGCTGTAATGGTTCAATGTATAGAGCGGTGGACGCGATGCTCTGTGGCTTCCAAGGAGGGGTCCTTAAAGGCCATGCAATGGCACCTTGCTCACTGGCACACTCACTCCTGGAGTCTGGAACTCCCAGGTAAGACGTGCAACTACCCTGCCACCACTGTGCTGGTGCGGACTCCTGCAGACAGTATGGGGGAGCTGTTCTTCAGCCAGCCCAGCCCAGGTGACAGTCACATAAATGAGGAAACCATCCGGGAAGTGGGTCTCCGGCCCCCACAGTTCACCCTCAGCCGGAACACAGTATAGCTTTTCCTGATGTGCCTTTTCCAAATTCCTATGACCATGACAGTGCTAAATTAATCATTGGGTGCTAAATTAATGCATCAATTAATTATCGGATGCTAAATGAACGAACAATTACCTCCTTGCATGTATTAAATATATGGCTCTTTATGTTCCAATACTAAGCTAATATGTGTAGTTTTCATTATTGTTTCAAGAATATCCAAACAAAAACCAGTCACTCCTTCACCCCTTTTAGATCCTGACAAGCAATGGGAGGAGCATTTCAAGGAACTGAAGTGGCCGCACGGCAAATTCTCTGACAGAGAACGGAAGAAG